TTGTGTTTTTGGGTTGTTTTTGGGGGTGTGTTGTGGGTTTGGTTTGTGTGGTGGTTGTTGGGCTCTACTCTGCGCTGGTTATGCCTCAACTGGAGTATTGTGTCCAGTTCTGGGCACCGCATTTCAAGAAAGATGTGGAGAAATTGGAGAGGGTCCAGAGAAGAGCAACAAGAATGATTAAAGGTCTTGAGAACATGACCTATGAAGGAAGGCTGAAAGAATTGGGTTTGTTTAGTTTGGAAAAGAGAAGACTGAGAGGGGACAGGATAGCAGTTTTCAGGTATCTAAAAGGGTGTCATAAGGAGCAGGGAGAAAACTTGTTCACCTTAGTCTGTAAGGATAGAACAAGAAGCAATGGGCTTAAACTGCAGCAAGGGAGGTTTAGGTTGGACATTAGGAAAAAGTTCCTAACTGTCAGGGTGGTTAAACACTGGAATAAATTGCCTAGGGAGGTTGTGGAATCTCCATCTCTGGAGATATTTAAGAGTAGGTTAGATAAATGTCTATCAGGGCTGGTCTAGGCAGTATTTGGTCCTGCCATGAGGGCAGGGGACTGGACTTAATGACCTCTCGAGGTCCCTTCCAATTCTAGAATCTATGAATCTTTGCACTTCTGGTTTCCACCAAAATTGGAAATATCTAAATACAGCAAGAAAGGCTGTCTTGTGGCAATATTTCCAGCACAGATGATACTGTGAAGTATTGGAAATCATATGAGAGAGCTTGTTCCTATGAATTTCAAGGCTGAAGGACATAAGATGAGAATACCACATTTGGGCAAAACTGAATCTCTTGCTCATATTGGTGAGCATTTTGATATCAAATGGGACTATTTCTGTATGTGTTTGTAGAAAAGAATAAGCCTTTAAGTGCTACCATTGTGCCAGAATCTACATGTGAAGAAAAACAAAACATAAGACAGTTTTATCCAGTCAAATAGTAAGTAAGAAACAAGACTTTTTATTGCTGAGGATTGAACTTAGATGTTGAGAAAAATTTAGTTGACAAATAAGGCTTAGTCCTAAGACAAACACAGATACTGGATCTGTGACTGCAATGGACTAAGAATTTATTCCATCAACAATATACATACATATGGGGGGGGGGAATCAAACAAATAGCTTTAATTTGTGTTTTTTCTCTTATTTTAAGGATTCAACCGGGACCACTACTTTTTTAGGATTCACAGCAACGGGCTTTGTAGTTTTCCAGGGAAATAAAAGAATTCATTTGTTAAAATGGTAAGCATATAAACTGTAATCAGGTTATTATATAAGATTATTTTAATTGTGTTTTTCCTCTAATTCCTTTAAGGAAGCTACAGGGAATATTGAAGATTCACTTCTTTGCCCTTTCACATTTTATTTTTCAAGGATTTTTCGATTACTTATGAAAAATAAATTGGTCTCATTCTACTTCTTACTGGAAATTAGTCTACATGACAAACTTGGACAAGTCAAACTAATTGACAGAGATGCTCAAGCATTGAATAGCTGTGATGTTGGAGGTCACTAATGTGGTATAATGGCAAGGGTGCAAAGGGAAGCTTTCACAATTCCTGCCACGTTATGCTTGGCTCTTGAATGTGTTGTCAATTCCTCATTCAAATATGAAAAGAAAAAATAGGATTTTTTTTAAAGTACTCCAGGTGGGAGAGGAGGTGGGATTGTATATGTTTATAAATGATCATTCCTTTTCAGATTTCTAAATATAAGTATATTTGGTCCCTATGCTTTTTCTTTCTTAAGGCAACTTGCTTCTTATCTCAAGGATTTCACTGTTATAGGGCACATCTGAAGCTATGACAACATTAGTGAAGACAGATTGAAGCTCTCTTGCCAGCATTTCCAGTCTTTTTCATAAAATCTCCAGTTTTTTGGTAGCTGATGGAATAATTTAGAAATTATGGTGTACTCCACTTATTTTCATCTTAAAGAGCTCTGATAAGCAAGGATTATGCAGAAGGTCAATGGTCAAATTCTAGAATAGGCCACTGCTTTGATTAGAATGATTGGCAGTTATAGTTGTATTTGGTGTGGCATACAGCCAAGTCTTTGGCCCAGGCTAATTTCCCTTTATATCATTCCATTGGTGCAATGGAATTAATGCTGCCCCAGAGGGTCAGATGGGGATTCTCTTGTCATAGCCTAATCCCATACCTTCCAACATTCTTGGAGAAAACCCTAGAAATTTCAAGTGTTCATAAATTTGCACAATTTTGAATAATTTTGTAGATGCATACCAAGACTAAGAGAAAGAAGGATAGAGGAAAGAAGAGATGCAAAAGTCTTCAGCATTTCATATTCTTCGCCATTTGTTTCCTGGCAAAACGTTTTATTCATCTGTCTCATCCTATTACTAGCATTTAATTCCAGCTCCCCAATCATCTACATTGCAAAATAACCCCTTCCTCCAAATCAGTTTAATTGCTAATAAAAGCAACCCCACTCAAAATAACCACCTTCATTGCAAGATAAAACCAAATCAAATGCCACCTCAAGCCCCAATACTTCATTCCAATTTAATTGCAAAACATCCCCCCACACATACTGGAAGTATTGGGGGGAGCACTGGGAGAGTTTTCATTGACGCCTCAGCCATCCTCCCCACTTTAACTCCAAAGTTCTGAGTGGGCAGTTCAAGTAGTCAGAGCAATTGCTGAACAGATGACAGGAGCAACTGCCTCCTAGATGGCTCTTCACGTGTAATGTTCCCAGAGCATCATCTTAGGGGGTGGAACGGAGCTGTCATTGATTGCCATTCCCCAAGAGGTGGGGGAATAGGGAAGAGTAGCCATACAGGTGGGGATTTCTTTGTAGACTGTTTTTTCCCTGCAGATGTACAGAAACATCTAAAACCCTCATAAAGTTGGCCAGTCTGGAATCCCCCACTTGCCTAAAATCAGAGTAGCCACCTCTATCTATTTCTCCCTAAACTGCAGTCAAATGAAAGCATTCTTGGGGGTGTGACTACGAATGGGGTTGGGATGTGGCTGGGACAGATGGTACTCTGGTGATCTGCAACCTTCAGGCATCTTCCCTTGTGTTAAAACCTTTCGTTGTGTACTGGCAAAACATGCTCATCTCAAATAAATGGATCAGTCAAAAAAGAAAAAAGAAGCAAAATATTAGCCTTATCACAGAGCCTCAGTTAAAATATCTGAGTAATCATCAGTCCTTCCATTGATATGGTACATTTATGATTAAAATGCAGTACCTGTCAGAAAGTTTTTTCTTTGTATCACATTCTTCTTTGCATCTAGAATCTCTTCAGTGCCAACCATTTGCTTGCTAAAGTCTTAGAAATGTTTATGAGAAGCTACAGTAATTTTAATAGTTTTATTCATTTCATAATTTATCATGCAATTAAATGAAAATGCATGAACTAGGAGGGGAAGGAGGTTATTGTACTACTGGTATGTCCTCTTTTAGTGGTTTAAATCTTGATTAGTACACACCATAAAATATGTTTTCTCATTGTACCCAGTATTAGAGATACTAAGCATCATAAAGACCCATACAATTTGACATATTATGCGCTATTTGTAAGTGCTCAGATACAATGAGTGACATCAATGCATAAATAAGCAGGTATGCAAATAGATGGGATATTGCTGGTGAGAAATGAGATGCATTTGCAGCATTCGGTCTGGAAACTTCCAGACCTTTCTATACAGCACCTGGCTCCTAAATGTGTTACCCATTCGTCATTTTAAGTACCAAATGGGTTCCAAGATTTTAAAGATGAGAAATTTATATTTATACTTCAGAATATTTATCTCTACTTCTCAGCAGCTTCCTTCTCTTTCCTCCCTGGTCCAAATGAACTCTTCAAAGGTTCACAACAACGTGGAAAGCATAACATCTCAAGTCTATATTCTCTACTCTGAATAAAATTAGTACTGTATATTGTTTGCTCTAGCACTATGGATTTTACACTATTTACCAAGAGTGCACAGTTGATGAGATAATAGCATTTTGTTCCATGGCAGCCTGCTCTATATTTGTGAATCAGTTAAATTTGCACATCACTTTTATTCACTGCAATTTTTTCCTTTACTTAAAATATTTTTTCTTCTTAGGGCTGATGTCTGTAAATTGAAATTTGAAGGGAAGACATTTTATGTGCTTGGAGCTCAGAGAGAGGTTGGATATTATTTTTATACTAAATTAGTATGGGTGATTTAGATTTAATTTTAAAAAGCTACTAATGTATTTTAATTTTAAAACGGGTCTTTTTAATGGATGGTTTTACAAATTGTATTTCATATATTGTAGATTACATGTAAAATAAAAATAAATTTGTGTCTTTTTTTTATTGTTTTTGAGAAAAAGGTATCTAATTTGACAAAGGGATTAGATCTGACAACATCTATTAGGTTTATCTAATCCAACCATGCAGTGCAGAGATTTTTCCTTACAATTTGTTCCCTAATATTTATCCAGTCTAGTTTTAAGGGTCAAATTATCTAAATGTGGGAATTGCACCAGCATAAAACGTGAGTGTCAAACCCCTGACCTCTATAGTTAAATTTTCAAGTGGGCTGTTACAGGGTGGACTGGGATTTTTAAGAGGGAACTGGCAGGCCACTTGAGCCTCATTAACAGCCTCACTATGGGGCCTGACAGAGGGCAACTGGTTTTGAGAAAGCGGGGGGAACAGGAAACAGGGAGAGGATGCTGTGGGAGTTACTGCAAAAGAGTTGCAGTGAGCAGAAGGCTCCTGCAGTGACTCTGAGAAACCAGGGGAGCAGCAGTGGGGTTTTGCCTGCTGATGTCTACACTTGAATAAAAGACCCGTGGCCTGGCCCTGGCTGGCTCGGGGTCAGCTGACTCAAGCTCGCTGGGGCTCAGGCTGTGGGTCTAAAGATAGCTGTATAGATGCTCAGTCTTGGGCTGGAGCCCAGGCTCTGGGATCCTACCCACTTGTTGGGTTTCAGAGCTCGGGCTCCAGCCTGAATGCAAATGTCTACACAGCAATTTTACAGCCTCACAGCCCATGCCCTGTGAGCCTGAGTCAGCTGACTGGGGCCAGCCATGGGTGTTTAACGGCTGTGTGTATATATATACCCTCAGAGCCAGAGAGTTGGACAAGGCAGACAGAGATCAGTGGAAGACTTGAGTTAAGAGGAGCCTTGGTGTGGTTGCTTGAATTATATTGGGACTTTAAGGGCAGTTTGAATTATTTTGACTTTTATGTTAATAAACCAGAACCCAAGAAAGGCTACTGCTGTTTGACTTGTGAAACCTTTTGGGAGTTGAGTCCAGAAAGGTAAACTGAAGCAGGGTACTATAGAGTCACCCCAGACACAAGAAGCACTCAGGAGGCAGCTGACCCTGTTATATGGGCCTTAACCCAGACCTGAATTTTAAAGTCTCTTGATTTGTTTGGTGCATTCTGCTGGACTCCTAAGCAGCTGCTTGGGAGAACTGCAGACTTGCGGGAGAAGCTCACTATCTAGTGTCTGTATAGTTAGTTTCTTCTAGTATTCGTTCATTCTCCAGTGTTCTGACCACAGAGGCTCTGCCTAGAGCATTCCTCTTAACCTGCCCATGTCCTTTGGGATGGTAGACTAATGCAGGTCAGAGTGATGTTGAGCATCGGTGTCTCCAAGGCTGTGGCCATGTTGAGGACCATAGTCGAGATGGGGGAGGGAGGATGGAAGAAAGAAAGCTAGACACGGGGAACCAGAAACTAGTGGGGGATATAGAATGAGCCACTGCAAGGGATATGTGGGGAGTCAGTCCAGGGAAATAGGGAAATTTAAATGAGAAAGCTGGTGGGGCGAGGGGGGGGAAGTTTGAAGTTGCGGATGAAGAGAGCCAAAGATAGGCATGGACATGGTAGTGAGAAAGAAAGTCAGCAGGGAGTAGGGGGTAGCCAAAGAGAGGGAATGAGGACAAGGGGGGGCTATGTGGAGAACAAGAGTGAGAGAGGAGAGCATAGTGGAAAGTCAAGGGGGAGCCAGGTCAGAGTGGATGGGGGAACTCGAGGAGGAAGTGTGGCTTTGGGGGGGAGAATTTATTGTCTTTATATGCAGGAGACGCAAAGAATTCAAGGATTTGACAGGGGAATTGAGGCAATGCATATTCATTAAATATGAAAATTAGGATGTTGCTTCATTTGCATAAAACTCAGCTTTCTCTACCTACAGCTATAATGGGTATGACCTTGAGTCCATTTCTCTGTTAACAAATCACTCGACCAGCTCCTTCTCACCCACAAAAGTAGCTTTGTTATGTGAAAAATCAATTTTCACAAATGGGGTGTGTGTGTGGGTGGGTGGGAAATCAAGTGCAAATGGTTTGCAATGCAGTGTGGATTAGTATCACTTAGGAAAATTTGATCCTAAATGTTTCTAGTGGACGGAGTTTCTATCAGTTACCTGGAAGACTATTTCACAGTCTTAAAGAATTCAACTTTTATGTTTTTTCTTATTTCTTTTTTCTACACTTAGAAAAAGGCTATGTTGTCATTTCATACCTCTACACCAGCAGCCTGCAAGCATCTTTGGAAGTGTGGGGTGGAGAACCAGGCTTTTTATAAGTAAGTAAATCTACATCAGTTCATCATAGTAAAAGAAAAGCATGTGCACTAGGGTAGAAGATGGTTCCATGTGAAATTTTGTGTGTGTCATTAACAGGATGGAAGACATAAACAGTATTGCTGCATCATTAAATGTAGATGCCAAAAAAGCATATTTGGATAAATATGCAAATGAGGATCATAGTTGGAGGCATTTGGTGCTTTTTAGGGTGGAGGATCAAGAACGTTCTTCCGAATAGCCTGTATTAGCTAAGATTGTAACAGCAGTGTGTAGCTAAGTGAATAGGATGACAGACCGGGAGTTAGGGAACATGGGTATTACTCTTGGTTCAGCTGTTGACCACCTCTGCAAACTTGAGCAAGGCACTTAACTGTTCTGTATCTCAGTTTCTCCTATGAGTAACATGGAGAGAATAATGCTACCCACCTCTATTAAGTGCTTTGAGATCTATGCTAGGAGTGTGCTAAGCCGTAAGTATTATTCATCTGGGCATTTTTGAATAAACATTGTTTTCCAGTGAAGCCACAAGGGCTGGTAAGTGGTGACTAGGAATTCCACAGCATGGGTTAATACACTTCAAAAAGATGGAAGTGCTGTTGGATGCATTTGGGAAAGTTGCCACTCATCTAGTTCAAAAAGTAAATGGCTGTAAATCAGTTGCAAGAGAAGGAAGAAGTCCAGAAACTATCCCCTCTCCTACACCTCAAAAGATACCGTGCAGATAAATCATCAAAGGTACTCGTTCATTTTTCCCTTTCCCCAGTTAACTTAATTAGATCTTTCGCCTTGTATACTAACATTTCCCTTTGGGCATGTTTCTTTTATTCCTGCTACTTTGAGTTTCTTTACAGCATCTGGCATACTTTATTTTGTAAAAATACTGTTTCTTGGTGCTTGCAAAGTATCCAACACTGATGGGAGGGGGAATGACTTGTGACTGGGTAGATAGAATTTGTGTTTTAACAAGGGTATTAATTATCTGTTTTATGTTGAAGCAGGTTCTTTCTTTCAGTTTAACATGGATGCAACAGTGTGTTGAATGAAAGGCATAAAATATAGGCCTGTTACAATATAGCCATTAATTTAGTTATATTCCATTTGAAAACTATGTTTGAAGCGGAATTATTATAGAGGATCTACTTAAGAACATTCTTCACTTTGGAAAACGGGGTGGGGAAACAATCTGCACGCATGTTTGATTTTTAAACATTTAGATCTGATTGCAATCATTTTTAGTAATATAAAACAGAGAATGGTACAACGCTCACTCTCCCAGCTACACTCAAAGGAGAGGAGTAAATCCGTTCGCCTTTCGGACAGTAGCAGCTGTCAAAGTATGAATGTCCAATGTGGACTGATATAAAATATCATCTCTGATATTTTGCTGCCCTAATAGCAATATTCATAATGTGGGTCTCAGGCATCATTGCCCTATCTACTCTTTTCCTTGCCACACTCTCCATGTGGCTTCCATATAACTCTGTGAGGTTGTTTCTTCAAGATTTTGGAAGTATACTCGCCTGTTTCATTTCCATGTTGGAATGGAAGTATGTTACTAATTTAGTAGAGGATTGGAAATAGCACTCCATGGATGGGAGTACACTGGCAGATTAGGAAATAGTGGTTGCTATAAATCAACAGTCTGCAGAGTTAAAGTGAAATGAAGATAGGTTGCATAGCATTGCAAACCATCTATACTCAAAACCTACTAATGTGCTACAAGAAAGAAGGAAGTACTTCCTTAGCCTATTACTGCTGGAGGAAGTTGAGAGATTTTTTCTGGCTGTTTCATTAATGGGTAATGTGGGAGAATGTTAAGATTCATGAAGACATTATAAAATTAATAACAGAGCTGAGAAGACCAGAAAAGAGCCAGTAGAGCCAGAAGACCTCAAAGTCAGGGAGATGAGAGGAGCATATTGGGGCCATACACAGTAAAGAAAGCAGGCCCAAGGGCTCATAGGAAAGAGTCAGAGAGAAGCCTGGAGGGACCAAAGAAAACTGTGAATCAAAGCCTAGGATAATAGTATAGAATCAGCAAAGACAGATTTGGGATTCAGAGAAACTTTTTCACCCAAAATTGGGGCATTTTTAAAAATTCCCAGTGTTTCTGAACATAAGTTCTTTATGAAATTGGACTTTGCCAATTAAGTGATACAACAGCATAATATTTGTGCAGCCCTGCTGAAAGTCTAACCCAAGGTAAAATTGGACTCTGTGAATAGTTCTACTTCAGAATGTTACATACAGTACAAATCCTGTAGGCTGATTACACAAAATTACTTACAATCAATTTGCTACCCAAAAAATATTTTAATTAAAAAACAAACAAACAGACTTGCATGCAATTCCTGGTGGTGAGACATTCCCTTGGTTAAATTTGAATCATGGTTTCAAGCTTTCTGTTCAACCATAACAAGTAGGAACTTAACTCTTTTAAAAATGAAGGCTGAGATTCTGATCTCTTCATGTGACTCTAGGAGCTAGGGACCTAGACACGCCTATGCCTTAATCCTGCCTTGTATTAAAGTATTTGTGTGATTATTTGCACACAGCTATAAATAAGAGTTTCTTCAAGCTTGGGGAAGAAATATGAAATCCACTTGACATTTCAAAACTACAAAATAGCAGAGAGGTGGCATATCTGGAACCATATTGTTTGTCGATGGTCATAAGCGCCAGATCCCCTCTCTCCCCCAACCTCTGCTTACTGTAGCCAAAGGCTGTTGAATGCTGATTCAAAGTGACTGGATTGGGTAGAGACTACACATACATCGAGTGTGTGAAGACACAGAAAATATAGCTGTTTTCTGAGTGAGGAACTCCTGTTCTTTTGTTTCATATTTGTTTCAATGATACCAGTGTGCTCAGTGCAGCATCCATGTGGGGAGTCCTTGTGTGGCTTGCTGGAGGAAAAAGGATTCTTGCCACTTTAAGGGGCCCTCCTCCTTACAATGGGTAGTAGAAGGGACGGGGGGAAGTTTACCAGCATGGATCAGGAAAGGGGCGAGGAGCAGGAAGTAGTTGGGACAGGTCTGGGGAGGAGACTGCCCTTTCTGCTGACTGAAAGAGTGAGGGCGGGATATTTTTTGGGAGCCTTCTCTTCCTGGATCAGGCTGGCATTCACACCCATGAATTTGTAAAGGGGCTGGGTTTCCTCATGACTCACTATGCCCTTTTCTTTGGGGGCTGGGAAAGAGTTTTTCCCTCACCACCAGATGGCTGAGGTAGTGCGAGGTACTTGTCTTCCTCACAGCAGGTCTGGGACCTGTTGGGACCGGTGTGTGCAGGGGGAGGGGAGGGTGTTAGGCTATAATGTCACAATTAAGTACATAAAACTCATGGCAGTTGTGCATAATCTAGGGGATACAATTATCAGATAAAATGGACTGGAAAAGGATTTGAAGGAAAGCATCCCTTAAGGGAGCTGAGGTAGGGGGGGTTTGGGGCTACTATGTCTCACAGCAGGGAGACGATTTCCCCCCTCCTTTTATAGCTCCCGTTCACTTTAAACAGGGAGAGAGTGGCAGGATCCCAGCAATGGGCTGGCTGGGATCAGTTGATTATATGGAAATGACTTCGCAAATTATGATGATCTGCACTGTACCATTTATTGCCAGGTTCTTCCAGATTTTTAGGTGAATAAAGATGTGGCCTAATTAAACCACATCCATTTCCTCCTGTCCTCCTCCTGGCATGGCTGGGCAGTGTGGAGGTAACTACATTTCTGTCCTAATCCTCCCACATACGGGATATTGTAAGAACCCTTGCAGGGGCTGCTAGATTCTATGGTGCTTGGTTCACATGGTATATATAAACTTCTGCGGGCCCTGTAGGAGCACGTTTTACTTTCTTGCTCTGTTATCCAGGTAATCACTCATTGATATGCAGTCTTTCCATACAGTCTAAATTGTGAGATACCGCTGTTACATTTCACATGTAATTTTATGTTGAAATTATTACACATACAATACAAAAGTTTTTAAACTGCCAATTATAGAACATTATGCTATAGTAGAAGAATAACACAGTTTGTCATTTGTCTTGCTCATTTCTGTACATTAAGTTGCTTTTTACACTTTTTGAAAATGTGACAACCATGTACTCTTCTTTTTCTGGAAGGTATGCAAAATCAAGTCAGATCAAGACGGTGTCCAGCAGCAAAATATTTTTTAAAGGCAGTAGATTTCGATATAGGTATGCACTTTCTTGTCCTTATGGGTTTTTTTTTTAAGATTAATCATTCTGAGGGTAGAAGAGAAAGCTTGGAAAATTATTAATGGGAAATTGAGCCTATACCTCTAGGGTACCCAATGCAGGTTAGTAGGGATTCAATGCCTGATTGCTCTTCAGTGTCTTTTATGAAATGAGTTGGTGGTTTCATTTAGATCTTAGTGAACAGCATTTCACATAAGAAAAAAAGGCACAATATTTGGCACTAGTTGTCATCCTTTGTTGCAGTCTCAAGACAAGACAAAATTTGGATAGCATAGAGATTGAAGTACTCTCACCAGATTCCTCTAGAATCAGGGTAGACATACGTTGGTGAGACAGCGGGGTGAAACTCATGCTGACACAGCTCTTCAGTTCTGCAGATAAATGATCTCCAGTATTTTCAGTGGGAACACTAATTTGATTTCTGATAAATTAGAAAATAATGTACTCTGGTATCCTATCTTCTAAAAATGTGTTGCTTTTCTTTGTTGCCATTTTAATAGTTCATGTTACAACTACATATTAATACTGACATAAATTTAAAAAATCCCTTAAAAGTTGCTTGGATATCCTAATTCATGTTTTGTTACAGTGGAAAGGTTGCCAAGGAGGTTGTTGAAGCGAGTTCTAAAATCCAGAGAGAGCCTCCTGAAGTGCACAGGTATGTTTTGATATTTTTACTTTAAGGACTGAAGAAGATGAGTCTGCTTTACACAGAAAGTTTGAATGAGTTTACACTTTGGTTACTATGGGACTAATGGACCATCATTCTGAGCAGCCATTTGAGACAATCAATCCTAGTGAAAGATGCTAAGTTAGTATAACACAATTGTCTCTGTGTCACTTTTCTCTCCTAGACAAGGGAGTTACCGTATTTTCCGGCGTATAAGACGACTGGGCGTATAAGACGACCCCCAACTTTTCCAGTTAAAATATAGAGTTTGGGATATACTCGCCGTATAAGACTACCCCTCTTCCAACGCACACCAAAAAAAATTTAAAAAACAT